TGGTTCCCCGTCGGGCCAGCCGCCCTCAGCGCAGTGTCCTCGTGGGCGTTGTGGACGGTCGGACCGGGGCCCCGGCCTGTGCGCGTTCGCTCCCGTGTGCGGGCTTGGTTGGTTGGGAGTTTGCTGTAGAGCCCGTGCGCTCGCAGGAGACAGGGCGGAGAGGTCACCCTCCGGGAATGGCCACTCCGCGATCCGCTCGCCTTCCTTCTCGCGTTCTTGGGAACGCACACAAGCGCGCGGTGTGGGTTTAAGCTCCGGGTCCCGGGCCTCGCATCAACGCAACTGCGCGGGAGTCCAGCCACGTAACCTTACCTGCTGGTCCCAAATATGTCTTAATGGCAACTGAATGACATGGGCTTCACTTACCTTATACCCACAAGGCAGCTGGTGAGATCGACGGGTTTCTCGTCTGCTATTTCCTTCTCTCCTTTCTTCTTCTGCCATCCCTAAGGACTGCGATTTCTAACACGTCCTCCACTCATCCACGGACTGAGCACCTGGTATAGACTGAAGGCCCAGCCCCTTTTCTCCAACAATTAGGGCTAGGACAACGTTTTTTTCTAAGTGGATTGGCCTGTTACAGTCTCCGTAGTCCATCAAGTGGTCAAAAGTCAGTATGAAATTTCAGAAAGAAAAAAGGATGATGTGATTTTGTACAGTGATGTGTCACAAATTTTAACAATGATTAAGGGTTGTTTTCACAGATACCGTTTTACCTCTTGGAAATAAAAACAGGTTCCTACTACTAAAAAGACACTGCTTGCAGAGCCAACAGGTGGTAGAGTGGTTAAGGTGCTGGACACCACATGGCCGGCCATGGTTGGAGTCCTGGACCCCATGGCCTGAAACTCATGTGGGAGTGTGTGCATATGTGCCTAAAGACCTGAGAGAACGGAGGAGGAGGAGAAGGAATTGCAGCGTGGCCATCCCCCCGGGGGGTGGGGGAGATTTCTCCCTTTCTGTCTCTCTGTCTCTCTGATGAGCTCATGTACCCTTATAGCAAACATCTCTTAAAAAAAGAAAGCTGATTGCCTTGAAGCCCTGGTAAAAAGGAGCAGACAGGACCTATTCCATTTCATGGACATCGGCCTCAAAGATCAAAGGCAACCTACCAGTGACTCCCAGTAACATGCATGTGAGTGCAGTCTCTTTCAACTCCACCTTGCCTCAAACTGCTCTGAGCTCAACGGTCTGTTTTGCTTGGAGAGACTGCAGCCCAGCACAGGCATCCCTCACTAGAGTAACAGGTGCAGCTTGTCTTCTTGCCTGGCTATTGGTCTCCAGGGCAACGACTGCCTTGGCATCCTCGCAACTTTATGTATCTCCAGAAAGACCGAGTCGAGTCGGCCAGGCTTGCGGCTCAGATTGACTGAAGCCCCTCCTGCAGCAAGGGCAGAGGAGAAACATGGTATGGAGTCGTTTTACGGCAGCTCCTGGTCCCATTTTGTAGGGCCCTGTCACTGACATCTCTCAGCTACTTCATCTCTGTCGCATGCGCCTTTCTGCCACATACCCCAGCGTCCGGCACAGCGGCACACTTCTATGTAAGTCTGTAAAACGAGGGCTCCCGGACAGAGCAGGCCCAGTGCGAGGCAAGCTGGCACCAAGTGGACACGCTCGTTTTGAAGTTTCTTTCTTTGATGAATGTAAGAGAGAAAGGCAGAGGGCCAGACCTCCCGACAGTCTTGACACTGACCCACTCCGGCCTCAGCCAGTCCTGGAAGGGCCTGCGTGCACCTGCCATGTCCAGGGAGCTCTCCTGACGGAAACCCAGAACCTGCCCTGTGAGTCAGCACGCAGGGCATCGTGCTTTGCTGCTGCACCACCACTCAGTCCCGTGATCAGACTTGTTCTTTCTTTCCTCCGTGAGTTAGAGAGAGAGAGAGACAGAGACAGAGACAGAGATGGGGTTTTATGCATGATCCAGCTCCCACTCAGCCAGCCTAGATCATGGGGCACGGAATGTGTGCCTGTTACATACAGAGATTTCTGGATGGAAGGTGGGTCTCTCCCCACATGGGTCAGTCTCACAGAACTCGTGTTATTACCGTGCCACTGTTTGGCCCCGTGAACTAATGGAAGGGCACACTCACTCTCAGGTTTGTGCAAGTGCGGGTCCTGCCCTCTCAACAGCAGAGTGACCCGGCATGCCATCTAGTGCCTCTGTGGGTGTTAGGCTGGAGGCTACACATACAGGGAGCGGGCACTACATTCTCCTGCTGTCTGGGTAGATGAGCTGTTTACATCCACTCGGGCACTTACTTGCCAGTCTACAGAAGCAGAACAAGCCCACTTAGCAGTGTCACCATGCTGCTGTTTATAAGTCACTTGACTGGGGCCAGCAAATGGCATGGTGGTTAAAGGCGCTGGAATGTCACATGACTGACTGTGGTTCAAGTCCCGGACCTGTTGGCTTGCTTTCACGCTCTCCCTCTCTGTGTGTCTTGCTCTAGTCAAATTAAAAATAACAATAATGAAAAATAAAATAAATCACTTGACCACTTGGCAGTGTGTTAGCCATTGTTATGAGCGGTTATACTGTTACACTCTTTTCTCACTTCACTCATCTCAGTCAGTGCTACTTAACAGGAGGCTGGTCTTCTTGACCAGCACACTTCCACACCACTTACGTGTTACTGCTTTTGCTGTTAAGTGCGTTGTTGTCATTGTGTTGCATTATATCCACATATTACAAAAATAAATGACCCCAGTGGTTCATTCAAGTTAAAAGAAAGGTGGTGTGGTGGTTAAGGCACTAGACACTCTCACGTGGCCGACCACGGTTGAGTTCTGGACGTGGTGGCTTGCTTTCTCATTATCCCTCTCTGTCTCTGGTCAAATTAAAATAAATAAATGAATAAATAAAATTAAATAATTAAGATAAAAGAATGTAAAAATAGCACACTGTCCAAAACGTAAGGTGTGACCTGGATTCCTGTCCATGATGGACATGCAAGCCCAAGGTGACACCCAGGTCTGTGCTAGTACAGGCAAATCTCTGCCCACAGACAGAGCAGCAGTGGCTGTGTCAGCCTGGCTTCCCTCGCATTGGCTTCTGTCAGCCCTGGAATGGAGGGTGTTGTGGGTGAAACTTCATTCAGTGGTGACATGAAGCCATAGAAGCTGAACTCTCTGGTAAGCCATTCAGATTTTTCTGGAACAGACACAAAGTAATGTTTCCTGGACTGGGTGATAAAGTCTCTCACACACTCTTGTCCATGTCCTTTCCCTTTACACTGTGATGGACACGGGGCCTGGAGGAGGACAGAACCACAGCTAGAAGCAGCCTGATTCCCAGATGATGTGTGGAGGAAAGCTGCCTCTTGGCTCAAGCCAGCATAGACAGTTACAGGAGCAAAAACCAAATTTGGCTCTTTTGGTAAAGAATTTTAACTACTCCTTGGGGCCGGCAGGTGGCATGGTGGTGAAGGGTGCTGGACCACGGCTTGCTTTCTTGCTTTCCCTCTCTCTCTCTTCCCCTGTCCCTCTCTGGTCAAATTAAAATAAATAAATAAATAGATGAGTTGAGTAAAAATCATTCTTTAAAAAAAGAATTTTAACCTATCCTAACTAATACAGTGAAGGCAGTGAGTACACTCATCCACAATGAGGCCGGCTGACATTTCGGTAAAAGAGCTGCTCGTGAAGTTTGGAATGAGAGGTGGGATAAAGACGATGTTTGTGAGGATGATTTATATCATTTCAAATGGCTTGCTCCAGCGCCGACCCTTACGCTATAATGTATACTCAGTATCTTGATGTTACAGATGAGCCATCAGGATTCTTAAAGAAAACCCAACTGTGATCAAAATGACTCCGTCCCGTGTTGGTTATCTTCCCAGCTGAAATAAGTCAGAGATGAAGCACAGCTTACGGAATACTTTTAAAGACCACACCCATGCTGCCTCATCTCAGATGAATGCAGCTAAAGACTGAACTGAGAGTTCAGCCAGAGCTGTCTGCCCTACCTCAGCCTCTCAGCAGTCAGAGGCCTTGGCTGGTCGTTGCAGGTGCGTGGGCAGTTTTTCATTATCTATGCCATCTCCGCCAGTTTCTGAAATGAAAATCATGCATGCCGTGCCTCCCTTAGCAGCATAAGCAACTTTTATGATGTCTCTGGCCATCTCCAGCATCCAATTTATTTCATGTGGAAAATGCAATTAGGCTGTAGTTCCTAGTTCTCACTCTTAATTTTCCATTTTTATTTTACGAAATAGAAAATACCTCATTTGCTAATCATCATCCTTTTCAGCTCTTCTGACAAATTGGCACCATGTAGAAAGAGCATACATAAACACAAATTTGGGGGCTATCCTGGGTTATTGTGGCTAGCGTTCCTTCTAGTATGGGATGAACTATACAACGTTCTAGCACAAGACTACACACCCCTCTTGGAATGCCTGCAGTGGTGGGGAGTGTGGGTTTCATCTGCATGGGAGATAACAAACAAATAATACCAAAAAACAAACAAACAAACAAACAAACAAAAACGTTTGAGACCTTCCACATTGGGATTCTACTTTCGTTCTCAGGAATTATACATTACATTTCCCTTTAATAGAATGGTCTTTACTCAACTATGTAAAGATGATAGCAAGACTGTCCTAAGCCGTTCTGTTTAAGTACTGTCACTTCTCATGTGATCTTGCTAGTTGCCCCAGGGATTGTTCGGAGCACTCTTCAAATTTATCAATGACCCTTCTTGTTAGCATCCGTTTTCCATATTCTATACCTGTCATCAGTCAGGTCATATTCTTGTTTCCTTAACTCATATTCAGTCTCTTTTTTTCTTAACCATAAAGGCTTTTTTAAAAAAA